GCCACTGCTACCACTGCCGCCGGACTGTCCGCACTTCCCCGGTCGACCGCCTTGCTTCGCCAGAGCGACGTAGTTCACCTGCGCCAAGAGCTCTTGGGACCGCTCGGCCTCCTGCATCGCCTCGTCCTGCCCGGATGTACGAGGTCAACGTGTCCTCGTTGAGCGTCGCCCGCGTGCTTGGCGCCATCGACAACCGCTTCAGCAGGTTGTAGCTGCTTGGGAGTCCTTGCATTACATGGGTGACGTACGACGCCGTCGAGTACTCCGCGCCGGCCATCCTGATGGTGGCGAGAATTCGCCGGGCCCGGTTGCAGTAGTCGGTCGCCGTCTCTTCGTCGCCCATACGCAGGTGCGTCAGCTGCCCCTCCAGCTGGGCGATGAACAAGTCGTCGGTGACTTGGCTGGTCGACTCGATGAAGTGCCACGCCTGGTGGCCGGCGTCGAGGTACTCTCGGCACCACTTCAAGGCGATCTGCACGCCCGGCGAGCAGCACCGTGAGATGACCGTGAAGGTCAACAGCTGCACGGCGCGGAACTCAGCTCGCAAGTCGGGGTCGTCCGGCGTCGCCACAGTACCACGAGCAAAGTTGATCAGCCCGGCCATCTCCAGCTGAGGCTCGATGGCCTCCTTCCAGGTGAGTATGTCGGGTCGACCGACCAGCGGGGGAGTCACCAAGATCCTATCCGGCGTAAACTTGAAGTAGCCGTAGCTCGGTGCAATCTTGCCTGCTGTCACCTGGGTCGCCGACATCGGCAAAGATCCACTTCGCCGACCTCCGACGTCACCCTGCGAGGACTGTCGCGAGATTGAGGAATACGAAAGGGGTGTACAAAATGTATATTTGTACATAAGCCCGAGAGGAAGTGTATCGAGGAAAGGGGCCGAGGCGAGGATCATGGCAGGGCGTTGTTGGGCTGCCGCGTCAGCAGACAATCGCATGGGGAAGTCGGGAAGTGTGACAGCTGGAAGGAGCTTGTGTTTTGTGTGAAGCATGCATGTTTCGTTTCTTTGCAGGTCGAATGCCCGAGCCAGCTGGAGTTACAGGCACGAGCTGGAGGTCAGGCAGAAGGGCGGCTAAGTGACAGTGGCGAGAGGAGGAGAAGGGTGACCTTTCGCTTCGGTGTGGGTCATCCCCTTCAGGCAGAAGCAGTAGTGTAGCAATAGGGGGAGGTGCTGGTGGGAATATGGGAGGTATGGGCAATAGACTGTGCATTGTTTGTATGTTCTGTATTACTCATGTGATTGCTGTAAAACTGTGCAACCGTGAGCGTCAGGCCATAACAAACTACGTAGGAATGGAGATGGTAACCTAGGCGAGTGTGAGTAAGCCGAGAGGGGAGTGTGAGCAATAGGGGGAGGTGCTGGTGGGAATATAGGGGGTATGGGCAATAGACTGTGCATTGTTTGTATGTTCTGTATTACTCATGTGATTGCTGTAAAACTGTGCAACCGTGAGCGTCAGGCCATAACAAACTACGTAGGGATGGAGATGGTAACCTAGGCGAGTGTGAGTAAGCTGAGAGGCTTATCACATACAAACAATCCGTGGTGCTAGTATTATGCGCACGAGAGGAGGGACTGAGTACGGCGTTGAGGAAACGACTGGGAACGCGGAGGCAGTGGTGAAAAGGAAAGCAGGAGGGATGAACCAAGGAACGGACACAAGGAGCGAAGAGGCGCGCGATGACGGCTCGCCAAGGAGAGGGATGGACGAGACGAACCGGCTGGAGAAGGAAGAGAAGGAATCCAGCGAGGCCGCTAGGAAGGAAACGCGTTCGGAAGGAAGACCGACGCGCGTCACCGGCGAAGATCGTCCGACTGGCTCCTACCAGCGGAGCGTGTCGTGTCATGAGGAGGCGTCGGCGCAGCGGTGGAAATACACGCTGCTGCCGAAGATCGAGGTTCCGGAGCGCTTCTCGGGAGAAACGCGGAAGGGACCAACAATCAAGAACTACGTGATGCAGCTGGATAATCTGCGGGCGAGATGGGAGAGAGATCGGCTCGATCCGGAAGAGTTCTTCAGGGGACTCGCGAATACTCTAACGGGAGAAGCGGAAACCTTCTACCGTCTGAGTAGGAGAGAGCTGCTGGAATGGACCGCAAGGGCGGCGCCTGGAGAAAGAGATCCCACGACGCGATTCCTACGGATGTTGGAACAACAGTTCCTGGCACAGACGCCAGAAAGAGTGACGGAATTTCGGGAGTTCCGCAGGCGGACGGAGGAGTCGCTGCTCGCGTATTATGGCAGACTGGTGGAGTTAGCGGAAGACATGGGCTGCCACGACATGAGTCGCTTGATCAGCAAATTTCTGAACGGATTGCACTACGAGCTGAGACGGGACGTGGCAGTTCGGGTCTTCGAAATGGGGGCAGAAGCGTCGCTCAAGGAAGTGTACGAGGTGGTAAAACGCGTTAAGATCGGGCGACGGATGTGCGAAATAGAGACATCAACGGAAAAAGGGGGGGAACGGAGAAGGCCAGCATGGGCAGCGACACCGGCTGAGAGGGAAAGGCCACCACGTAAGGCAGGAGAAGAACGGCGTTGCCACAATTGCGGTCAGCTGGGGCATCTACGCAGGGACTGTCGTAATCCGCCGGCGTGTTCCACCTGCGGGAGCGAAGAGCATCTGAGGAGGGACTGCCCGGAAGCGCCGGTGTGTGAGCGCTGCGGGCGGAAGGGGCATCATGGGAAGGATTGCTACGCTAATAGGCGGGAAGGGAGAGTCAAGAAGGACCCGGAGGAGGTGAAGGCGCAAATCGCGCGACTGCAACGACAACTGGAGGAATTGGAAGGATCAGACCAGAAGGGGAGTGCTATGTTGGCAAAGTCGGAGGAGGAAGACGAGGAAGGAAGTGAGGCTAGCTTCGCTCTGATGGCGTGCCCAGTGCGCGAAAGGGGGGATCTTGGGCTACGCGCGCGGCATCGGTACTTCCCGCATGAATCCCCGGTGAGGGAGCGCGGTCCAAGGAGAGATACTACTGAAGCCAGGACGACAGGGGCCGCTCGTCGTCACCCGCTCGAGAGGATGGCGTGTCAGCCGTCGGTGCTAGTGGTGGAGCCAGGAGTGATGAGTGTGGGTGGAGTTAAGGTGAAACAAGCCATTCTGGATACAGGAGCACACAACGTGTTGATCGGCGCACCGATGGCCAGGCTGTTGGGATTAGACAGGGAAGATCGGCTGATAGCTGAAGGCATCTGCTAATGACGGCGGAAAGAGGGACGGCGAAGTGGATGCCAAAGACCAGGAGCACGGTGGAGATTGTCATACGGGCGGGTCACCCAGACGAGTGTATAGTGCGCATGCACTGTGGGGTATCCACGTCAGAAGACTATGATCTGCTGCTGGGGGTTGAGTACCTGTTCACCATCGGCACCACCATCTGCATGTGGGAGGAACGATTGAAGTACCGAATAACCTACTGGGAGCACGACAGCGAGCTGGCGGAACTACCGGTGCGTTTCATCAGGCGGGAACCCAGGGAAGCCTACCAAGCCATGGAGAAGCCGCTGGAAGAAGAGCTGAGCATCATAGGCTGGAAAGAAATGGGACAGACAGAGGCGGCCAGGAAGCAGTATGAAGAAATATGGGGGGTCAGCGATAATCTGCGGGAACCAGTCTTGGATTTGAGGGCATTCCAGAAACCCTTGGTGGTACTGGAGCTGTATGGCGGAATAGCTACAGGATTGGCAGCAGTGCTGAAGGCAGGCCATACAGTGGCGAAATACCTGTACGTGGACAACGATGGGGGCGCTAACCTGATGGCTTGGCATCATTTGAAGCTGCTGAAGGCCAGGTATCATGAACAACTGATGGAGGAGGCTGCAGAGAGAGGAGCGGAATGGCTATGCAGCGGGGTGGAGGAGATTGATGACAGGCTACTGGCGGAGTGGGGACGGATCGACTTGGTGATCGCTGGCTGGAGTTGTCAAGGACTGTCAAGAGCAGGGAGAGGCCGAGGCATGGGGGATATACGGAGCGCCCAATTCCGGGACTTGGTACGGGTGTTGAAGACGATCAAGCGAAGGCAAGGGGAGGTAGCCTACATCATTGAGAACGTGGATATGGAGGAGGACGCGCGGCCAGCGATTCGAGCAGCTCGCGATGAAATCACCGAAGAGCTGGGGGCAGGAGAGGCATGGGATGCAGCGCAAAACGGGAGCCGAGTGCACAGGCCAAGGCGATACTGGCAGAACGTGATTCCTGAGGCGGCATTGAGATATCAGCTGTCGCGAATGGAGCGGCCAAGAGCTAGGAAGGTGGAGGACATCCTGGAACCTGGACGGCTGGCAGCACTGGTTACAAAGGCGGATCATCCATCGCAGTACCCGTGTAACAAGGTGGGAGAGCCGCGGCAAGCGTGGCCGACATTGGTATCATATGAGAATGCACGGGGATTCAAGGAAGTCGGAGGAGTTGCAGGACCAGGCATGGTGTACGACCAGGCGCGAGGAGTGTGGGAAGAACCGACGGCGCAAGAGAGGGAATTGGCTATGGGATTCCTGGCAGGAGCAACGGCCTGCGAGCAGATGACAGAGAAAGAGAGAAAGGCAGCCCTGGGCAGGGCGATGGATCTGAACGCGCTGCAATGGCTGTTCATGACCATGGCCAATCACCTGGAAAGGAAATGGCTGGAAAGGAGGATCGGCAAGGCAACAGCTATCAGGCCACAGACCCTGCTAGCAGCAAACAAGGAGATGGAGGCACGGACAATGCTGGGAGGTCTCGAGGAAAAGGAAGAGAACCAGTGGTGGCGAGGAATCCCAGAGGATCACAGAAGGGCCAGCTGGAGAGATGATCGGGAAGCGATACCAGGGCGATACGCGGATCCTCTCGAGAGTGAGGAGGAATGGGAGGAGGAGGAGGAAATAATGGCAGAAGAGTCAGGAGAGGGCAGAGGAGACACACCGGAGGAATTTCATGACTCAGACTTTGACATGAGCGAGGAGTACTACAGTTACGAAGAACTGCCCAGCTGGCCACCCACATGACCAGCATTCATGGCGCTGGACGTAACCGCGGGCGAAAACAGCGAGCAGGCGAGGGAGGATGAAGGGATGAACGGACAAGGAGAGGCTGAGACGGCAGGCCAGGGAGGAGAGCAGCATGAGCAGGCGAGGGAGAATGAGGGGACGAATAGACAAGGAGAGGCTGAGACAGCAGGCCAGGGAGGAGAGCAGCACACATGGGATATTGGGGAAGGACTGCAAGGGGCACATCGGCAGGCAGTGGAAGCTCTGTTGGCATCTCACAGGCAGACATTCGCCTATACGCTGAAGGAGCTAGGCTGCTGTAATTGCGCAGTCATGACGCTGGAGCTGACCACCACGGTACCGGTGTACCAGAGGAGACGGCGGATGAGCCCTCAGGACCTAGAAATATGCAAGGAGAAGTGCCTTGAGCTGCTGGAAGCGGGGCTAATACGGAGGTCGGAGTCTAGATACGCTGCGGCAACAGTGGTGGCGGCCAGGATGGATTTGACGGGAGCAGTGCTGGCGAGGCGCATGTGTGGAGATTATCGGGATCTGAACAAGGTGACGGTGGCAGAGAGATACTCCACTCCCATGGTGGATGAGCTGTTCGATCAATTGGCGGGGGCTCGAGTGTTTTCGACGCTAGACATGAGGCAGGGGTTTAACCAAATCCCAATCGCGGAGGCCGACAAGGAGAAGACAGCCTTCCACGGGCCGGATGGGGCGTACGAATGGAACCGCATGCCCTTTGGTCTCAAGAATGCTTCGTTACTGTTCCAGAAGGTGATGGACGCGGTGCTGAGGGGAATGGAAGGGGCGCTGTGCTACATCGACGATGTCATCGTGTTTAGCGCCACTCCAGAAGAGCATGTGGAGCGCCTAGCGGAGGCGTTGAGGAGGATTAAATCTGCAAGACTGACTTGCCACCCGAAGAAGTGTCGATTCGGGCATACAGCTGTGAAGTATCTGAGGTTCGAAGTGGCAGGAGGAAGGCTAGCCATTCAGGAAGCGAAGGTGGCCATCCTGGACCAAGTGTCGCAGCCCAGGGACAAAAGCGCCCTCAGAGCCCTGCTGGGGTTTCTGAACTACTACCGCAAGTTTGTGGAGAACTTTAGCAGGCGGGCGGCACCATTGAACAGGCTCCTGAAGGATGACGTCAAGTGGCAGTGGGGGGAGCAGCAGAAGGCAGCGCTGAAGGACCTCATGGGAGCAGTGAAGAATGGGGCGGTGCTACAACTGCCGAAAGCAGATTTGCCCTTCGTGCTGTATACGGACTGGAGTAGCACGGGCATGGGAGCAGTCTTGAGCCAGCAAGAGGGAGGGGAGGAGAAAGTGGTGGCCTTCGCCAGCCGTTCCTGCAACCCTGCGGAAGCCAACTACTCCTCCTACGAAGGTGAAGGGCTGGCGGCAGTCTGGGCAGTGGGGCACTTCCGGGTGTACCTGCAGGGTCGGCCCTTCATGCTGGTTACCGACCACCAGCCTCTGCTTTGGCTTATGCAGAACCAAAGCTTGACAGGGAGAAATGCCAGATGGGCGATGAAACTACAAGAGTATCAGTTTACCATCCGGCATCGCCCAGGGAAGACTATGCAACATGTAGATGGTCTGTCCAGGAACCCGCCCAGGAGCACGCCCAGGAATCCGCCGGCAGTGGCGCCAGAAATGGCACTAGCGGCATTGGTCACAGATCCTGTGACGCCGCTGCGCAGGGAGCAGCAGGCTGGGGCCACAGACGTGTGGGAAGACAGGGAGACACTGGCGTGGCTGAAAGGAGAGACCGCGGAGGGAGCAACAGTCTCAGCAAGGGCCCGTAGCAGAGGGCAGCACTACCGCTGGTACCAGGACCAGGTGCAGATAAGGACGCAGGATGGCTGGAAGCGGGTGCCAGAGCCGAAGGAGAGGGAAGGCGTGATAAGGGAGGTGCATAATCGGCTGGGGCACTTCGGCCCGCTTCGCACACAGCAGCTTCTGCAGACAGGATGGTGGTGGGCTGGGATGCGGAAGGAGGTGAAGGACTGGGTGGCCAAGTGTCCAGCATGCATCAGGAATCGAGCAGCATTCGAGAGAAGCAAGGCTGAGCTGCAGCCTCTGCCCATCGTGGGGCTGGGGTATCGGTGGTCGCTGGACCTGGCGGGCGAGCTACCGTTGACCAAGCGAGGGCGGCGCTATGTGGTGGTGATGATAGAGCACGTGAGTAAGTGGGTGGAAGTGAGAGCAGTCAGCCACAAGACTGCTGAGGCTGTGGCTGACGCCTTTGAAGAACAGGTGCTGACGCGGTTTGGAGCGTGTGGGGAGGTGCTGACAGACCAAGGCACCGAATTCCAAGGGGAGTTTGAGGAGCTGCTATCCTCGTGTTTGATTCCCCACCGCACAACGTCCAGGTATCACCCGCAGAGCGATGGGCTGACGGAGCGCATCATTCAGACCCTGAAGCGAGGACTGCGAGCGTATGGGGAGACCAGGAAGAGGGACTGGGACAGGCAGCTGCATTGGATAATGGCGGGGTACAGGTTCAGCAAGCAAGCGGCGCTCCGAGACCTGTCCCCCTATCATCTCCTCTTTGGCAGGGAAGCGGTACTGCCGGTGGGAGCACCACGAGTCTTAACTGATGTGGTTACTGCAGGGACGGCTGAGAAGTGGGCGGCATTGGCAGCTGTGAGGGGGGAGTACCTGAGGCGACTGTTGCCAGCGGCGCTGGAGAGTCTGCATGTGGCCCAGCTGAGGGACATCCACCGCTACAGGCAGCGGCAGGAGCAAAGGGCGGGGGGAGCGCCAGCAGCGCTACAGCAAGGGCAGGAAGTGTATATTCGTCGCCCCAAAAAGGATGGGTTGGATGTGGGATTGTCTCAGCAGCGGTGGACTCTGAAGGAGGTGAGGGAGTCAGGGGTACTGGTTCTGGAAAGTGAAGCAGGAGTGCGAGCCGTGGATCACATCACTAATGTGGCACGAGCAGGAGGATATCGAGGTCCCGTGACCAGGGCGAGGGCGGCCAAGGGTCACGGGAGGGGGCAAGAGGTTATCACAAGCCAGAAGCAGTAAGGCCAACTGAGAGTGCATCCCACATGGACAGGAGCAAGCAGCGGCAGGGTGCTTGTAGTGAGAAGCAAGAAGCAGTATAGGGCAGGAGAGTGGGGCTGCAAAGATGAAACCAGGGAGCGGAGGAACAAGGAAGGGGGAGGGGAGCCTACAAGCGGGGTGAAGCAAGTGTGCACCAAAGGGAGGGGACGTGGAAGGGCAATATGGGGGGGATGAGGTAAGTTTGCTCACACTGAGAGGCTTATCTGCAGCCGCCGACGACCGCATCCCTCGCGCCCGAACGCCGCCGACTTCATCGGCGTGAATCACACCACGCTGCCTCGACGACGTGCCTCCCGCACTGCTGCCGACCTGGCCACCACTGGCGTAGACGTCCACGTCGACGCCACCCTCGGTGTTCACCGGTCGAGGAGATGCAGGCCGAGAAGGAGGGTGCTCCGTCGCCCACACGGAGCGGATGCCACCGTCGACGACCGCCCAGGGGTGGTCGCCGAACTCCTTCGCCTCATGGCGTCTCCTCGCGCTTTACGTGCCTCCAGGGTGTCCACCACCCCCATGTCACCTACGGCGCCTACCATAGTGACTACCGCACAGCTGCCGGCCTACGAACAACTTAGGTAAGGTGCAACTAAGTCGACTAGACTGAAAGGTAAGTTGTGAGCCGTCCACGCTCACCCTACCATGCGGAGATAACTACTACAATGGGAGCTAGACTGCGAGCTAGGCATGTGTGCTCGTGTGATCTCTGCGTTCGTTGTTCCTTAGTCGTTTCCTTGTGCGCACACTACTTGCTAGTTCACAGGGAGAATTGGCAAGAGTTCCACTAGGAAAAGTTCACAACAATGATACAATGAAGTTGGCAAGGCTAGACTACATCAGAGCTAGGATGCAAACAGGTCGACTGCCAGCGCAGCACGGTCGACCGCGTGCTAGCACGACTTGGTCGACCGCGCTCCAGCGGTGCAGAGTCGCGGCTTGCCAACGTTGCAAGTCGACGGCGTGACAACAGCGCAAGTCGACGGCGTGCCAGCGTTGCTCCCGCAGTACAGCATCGCACCCACTTCGCAGGTGCTCGCAGATGATTGGCGTGCTGTGCCTCGTCACCTGCACAGCGCACACACCACATCGATCTCCCACGTGCTGACGACCACCTCGTATCAGCCACGTCGACCTCGGGATACCACTACCGAGGTCGTCCTTGCCAACATCGCCTGGGCGACCGTCGCGTGCCTTCGCAGAACCTCGTCACCCAGGTAACCTGGTCGACCAGGCAACCACGTCGACCAGCTGCTCCTGTGCGTGCCCGTCGACCACCCAGGTCGACGACCACTCCCGGTCGATCTCACCGGGTCGACCACATTCTCGGTCGACCAGCTACAGGTCGACGGCACTCCTGGTCGACCACCTCCAGGTCGACCAGCACTCCTGTCACCCGACCACCCAAGTCGGCTACCCCAGGTCGGCGTCACCAAGTCGACGCCCTCTGCAGGTCGACTTCCCAAGTCGACCACCCGAAGCTGGCGCCCTCCCGAAGTCGGCGCCCTTGCAGTGGCCCCCGTGCAGGTCGACCAACCCCGTCGACCAGCTCGCCCACTAATACAGGTCGGCTGCAACCCTCACACCCGACCACGAAGTCGGCTCCGCCCAAGCGAGGACGGGGCCACACAACAACTCCCGTTGACACGGTGAAGTTTTTCAACACCTCCTTGATCAGCGAGCCCTGGTTGGTTCGCGCTCCCCTTGGCGCCGAAACACCAGAATTTGTTCGGTGCAAATTCACTTTGCACGACATCCTGCCATCTGTTTGTACGAGTATGCGTGTGCGAATGCATTTGCGTGTGAATGGTGTGTTCGTGTGTTTGTTTGCTTTCGCAATTTTCGCTTGAAGCATTTGCAGGTACTCGCGCAATATGCGCAATCAACTCAACCGAACAGGGCAGGCACTATAGGGGTACAATTTAGGTGAAGGTTGGATGTTGTTTGTCTGTATCTGCATGCTACAAGGCCAGGAGAAACCAGCGGAACCAGCATTTGGCTGGTTGGGCAAAGACAAAACAGGTTATGTTTTTAGAACCTGAACCACGTTGTTGTTTTCCCAGGTTGGAAAAACAGAACCAGAGGTTGTTTACCAATCTACCACCTGCTGTTTTGTCCAGCCAGGTTGGTTCTGTTGCTTGGAATTATTTGGGATCATCCCTGGTTGTTCCCAGGTTGATTCCTAAGGTCCTTGCTAGCTAGAACTATTTAGTCCTTCTCTGTTTGTACCTGGATATAGTCAATTGATTCATGTGAATTCCTTCCTCGCTGGAATTTCATTTCTACGCGGTTCGACGGCGGAATGCTACCCGAGTCAACGCTAGTACGCTAGCACTCCAACGCTAGCACTCCAACGCTAGAAAACACTGTCCGAGCCATAACTTCGTAATGGCAGAACCTTTCGTGAGGCAACGTGGCTTATTTTGAAGCTCTTGGAACAAGCTTCGATATAGAGAATTCTCAGCTTAATCCGATCGACGGTCTGCACGATACGCTGCGCGACATTTAAGGTATTCTTGTTATTTTGGCTAAGTCTTTCTTGACTCCTCTCTCTACAAACTCGGACCCGAGGATAGGGGCTGGTTTTGTACCAGGCACCCAGGGACCCTTAGAGGTGACCCCAAGGAGAGGTTTTAAGTTTGATTGAGTCTTAATAGCTTGAGTTTATTAGGCCCTTACACCAACAAGCTGGTACCAGAGCTGCGTTATAGTGATCCTCATTATAGGTAGCTATGGCGGGCAACACCTCGGCGGGAGCTGGTGAATCTTCAGCCCAAGATCGTAGCGGCAGCCAAGATTCTGGTGTTTCGGCGCCAAGGGGAGCGCGAACAAGCCAGGGCTATGAAGAACTTCACCGTCGAGAAGTTCAATGGTGAGGGCTATGATGATTGGGCCTGGAAAATGCAACTATATTTCCGTCAGATCGGTTTGCTGAAACTAATGATTGGGGAGGAGCCTAGACCAAGTGACCCCGCCCTTCAGGATTGGGACGAGCGCGCCTCGGCTGGCTACTATTTGATGTCGCAGAGTTTGGAGCTGAACCAGCGTCATCACGTCATGCACCTGCGTCCGAAGGCGTGGACCGTTTTGAAGGAGCTGCACGCCCCGACCTCCGTCGCTGCGACGCTCATGATGGAGAGGGAGCTGTCCGCGTTGCGCTTGAGCGAGGGAGAGCCGGTGCAACCTGTTCTGGACAAGATGCGTGATCTCTACGCGAAGCTGGCGATCGCGGGAATCACCTACCCGGAGCAGACCAAGTGCCTGAAGATGCTGTCGCTGCTGCCGGAATCGTGGCTTCAATTTACGAGCGGATTGAGCCTGCCACAGAACCAGAGCTTGTGGACGCTGGAGTGGGTGCGGACGAAGATTCTGGAGGAGGACTTCTGTCGCCGCCAACTGAGGGGTGGAGACGACGGCAGCAGTGGCTACGGGATGCAAGAGAGCCGACGTGGCAGAGGACGTGGCTTCGGTGGTGCTGGGCGCGGTGCAAAGAAAGACGACGACTCCAACGACCAACAAGGAGGTACCGGTTGGGGTCGCGGTGCGAAATCTGGACGTGGGGGCAAGTCGGGTGCTGGTGGCAAAATGAAAGGGAGTTGCTGGTATTGTAAGAAAAAAAGGCACACCTGGTTTTTGTGATATAAGGAACCCGATGGACGGACCCTCCAGAATCGTCACCAGGATGGCGGCGCGCGGAGGAACCAGAAAAACGGCGCCAACATGGTCGCTGATTCGTCCGACAACAACCCAAAGGGCAACGGCGGTGCGGAGACAAGGGGGAGCAAGGATACGTATCTGCTAAGGTTGGAGAGAGCTGCACCCTCTGGACTATTGGGTGTTGGACACAGGCGCTGCTTGGACGATGACGCCGCGCAAGGACCTGCTGGACGACGTACGCGCTGCACCGATTAACGAGGTGTGCTCTGCCTTTGGACTCCTGTTGAAGGTGGCTGGTGTTGGTGTAAGGGCCTAATAAACTCAAGCTATTAGGACTTAATCAGGAATCCGCCGGCAGTGGCGCCAGAAATGGCACTAGCGGCATTGGTCACAGATCCTGTGACGCCGCTGCGCAGGGAGCAGCAGGCTGGGGCCACAGACGTGTGGGAAGACAGGGAGACACTGGCGTGGCTGAAAGGAGAGACCGCGGAGGGAGCAACAGTCTCAGCAAGGGCCCGTAGCAGAGGGCAGCACTACCGCTGGTACCAGGACCAGGTGCAGATAAGGACGCAGGATGGCTGGAAGCGGGTGCCAGAGCCGAAGGAGAGGGAAGGCGTGATAAGGGAGGTGCATAATCGGCTGGGGCACTTCGGCCCGCTTCGCACACAGCAGCTTCTGCAGACAGGATGGTGGTGGGCTGGGATGCGGAAGGAGGTGAAGGACTGGGTGGCCAAGTGTCCAGCATGCATCAGGAATCGAGCAGCATTCGAGAGAAGCAAGGCTGAGCTGCAGCCTCTGCCCATCGTGGGGCTGGGGTATCGGTGGTCGCTGGACCTGGCGGGCGAGCTACCGTTGACCAAGCGAGGGCGGCGCTATGTGGTGGTGATGATAGAGCACGTGAGTAAGTGGGTGGAAGTGAGAGCAGTCAGCCACAAGACTGCTGAGGCTGTGGCTGACGCCTTTGAAGAACAGGTGCTGACGCGGTTTGGAGCGTGTGGGGAGGTGCTGACAGACCAAGGCACCGAATTCCAAGGGGAGTTTGAGGAGCTGCTATCCTCGTGTTTGATTCCCCACCGCACAACGTCCAGGTATCACCCGCAGAGCGATGGGCTGACGGAGCGCATCATTCAGACCCTGAAGCGAGGACTGCGAGCGTATGGGGAGACCAGGAAGAGGGACTGGGACAGGCAGCTGCATTGGATAATGGCGGGGTACAGGTTCAGCAAGCAAGCGGCGCTCCGAGACCTGTCCCCCTATCATCTCCTCTTTGGCAGGGAAGCGGTACTGCCGGTGGGAGCACCACGAGTCTTAACTGATGTGGTTACTGCAGGGACGGCTGAGAAGTGGGCGGCATTGGCAGCTGTGAGGGGGGAGTACCTGAGGCGACTGTTGCCAGCGGCGCTGGAGAGTCTGCATGTGGCCCAGCTGAGGGACATCCACCGCTACAGGCAGCGGCAGGAGCAAAGGGCGGGGGGAGCGCCAGCAGCGCTACAGCAAGGGCAGGAAGTGTATATTCGTCGCCCCAAAAAGGATGGGTTGGATGTGGGATTGTCTCAGCAGCGGTGGACTCTGAAGGAGGTGAGGGAGTCAGGGGTACTGGTTCTGGAAAGTGAAGCAGGAGTGCGAGCCGTGGATCACATCACTAATGTGGCACGAGCAGGAGGATATCGAGGTCCCGTGACCAGGGCGAGGGCGGCCAAGGGTCACGGGAGGGGGCAAGAGGTTATCACAAGCCAGAAGCAGTAAGGCCAACTGAGAGTGCATCCCACATGGACAGGAGCAAGCAGCGGCAGGGTGCTTGTAGTGAGAAGCAAGAAGCAGTATAGGGCAGGAGAGTGGGGCTGCAAAGATGAAACCAGGGAGCGGAGGAACAAGGAAGGGGGAGGGGAGCCTACAAGCGGGGTGAAGCAAGTGTGCACCAAAGGGAGGAGACGTGGAAGGGCAATATGGGGGGGATGAGGTAAGTTTGCTCACACTGAGAGGCTTATCTGCAGCCGCCGACGACCGCATCCCTCGCGCCCGAACGCCGCCGACTTCATCGGCGTGAATCACACCACGCTGCCTCGACGACGTGCCTCCCGCACTGCTGCCGACCTGGCCACCACTGGCGTAGACGTCCACGTCGACGCCACCCTCGGTGTTCACCGGTCGAGGAGATGCAGGCCGAGAAGGAGGGTGCTCCGTCGCCCACACGGAGCGGATGCCACCGTCGACGACCGCCCAGGGGTGGTCGCCGAACTCCTTCGCCTCATGGCGTCTCCTCGCGCTTTACGTGCCTCCAGGGTGTCCACCACCCCCATGTCACCTACGGCGCCTACCATAGTGACTACCGCACAGCTGCCGGCCTACGAACAACTTAGGTAAGGTGCCACTAAGTCGACTAGACTGAAAGGTAAGTTGTGAGCCGTCCACGCTCACCCTACCATGCGGAGATAACTACTACAATGGGAGCTAGACTGCGAGCTAGGCATGTGTGCTCGTGTGATCTCTGCGTTCGTTGTTCCTTAGTCGTTTCCTTGTGCGCACACTACTTGCTAGTTCACAGGGAGAATTGGCAAGAGTTCCACTAGGAAAAGTTCACAACAATGATACAATGAAGTTGGCAAGGCTAGACTACATCAGAGCTAGGATGCAAACAGGTCGACTGCCAGCGCAGCACGGTCGACCGCGTGCTAGCACGACTTGGTCGACCGCGCTCCAGCGGTGCAGAGTCGCGGCTTGCCAACGTTGCAAGTCGACGGCGTGACAACAGCGCAAGTCGACGGCGTGCCAGCGTTGCTCCCGCAGTACAGCATCGCACCCACTTCGCAGGTGCTCGCAGATGATTGGCGTGCTGTGCCTCGTCACCTGCACAGCGCACACACCACATCGATCTTCCACGTGCTGACGACCACCTCGTATCAGCCACGTCGACCTCGGGATACCACTACCGAGGTCTTCCTTGCCAACATCGCCTGGGCGACCGTCGCGTGCCTTCGCAGAACCTCGTCACCCAGGTAACCTGGTCGACCAGGCAACCACGTCGACCAGCTGCTCCTGTGCGTGCCCGTCGACCACCCAGGTCGACGACCACTCCCGGTCGATCTCACCGGGTCGACCACATTCTCGGTCGACCAGCTACAGGTCGACGGCACTCCTGGTCGACCACCTCCAGGTCGACCAGCACTCCTGTCACCCGACCACCCAAGTCGGCTACCCCAGGTCGGCGTCACCAAGTCGACGCCCTCTGCAGGTCGACTTCCCAAGTCGACCACCCGAAGCTGGCGCCCTCCCGAAGTCGGCGCCCTTGCAGTGGCCCCCGTGCAGGTCGACCAACCCCGTCGACCAGCTCGCCCACTAATACAGGTCGGCTGCAACCCTCACACCCGACCACGAAGTCGGCTCCGCCCAAGCGAGGACGGGGCCACACAACAACTCCCGTTGACACGGTGAAGTTTTTCAACACCTCCTTGATCAGCGAGCCCTGGTTGGTTCGCGCTCCCCTTGGCGCCGAAACACCAGAATTTGTGTTGGTGTAAGGGCCTAATAAACTCAAGCTATTAGGACTTAATCAAACTTAAAACCTCTCCTCGGGGTCACCTCCAAGGGTCCCTGGGTGCCTGGTACAAGACCAGCCCCTATCCTCGGGTCCGAGTTTGTAGAGAGAGGGATCAAGAAGGACTTAGTCAAAACAGCAAGAGTACCTTGAACGTCGCGCAGCGTGCCGTGCAGACCGTCGGTCGGATTAAGCTGAGAATTCGCTATATCGAAGCTCGCTCCAAGAGCTTTAAAATGAGCCAAGTTGCCTCGCGAAAAGTTCTGCCATTACTAAGTTATGGCTCGGACAGCGTTTGCCTAGCGTTGGAGTGCTAGCATACTAGCGTTGACTCGGGTAGCATTCCGCCGTCGAATAGCGCAGAAACGAAATTCCAGCGAGGAAGGAATTCGCTTGAATCAATTTAACTATATTCAGGTACAAACAGAGAAGGATTAAATAGTTCTAGCTAGCAAGGACCTTGGGAATCAACCTGGGAACAACCAGGGATGATCCCAAATAATTCCAAGCAACAGAACCAACCTGGCTGGACAAAATAGCAGGTGGTAGGTTGGTAAACAACCTCTGGTTCTGTTTTTCCAACCTGGGAAAACAACAACCAGGTTCAGGTTCTAAAAACAGAACCTGTTTTGTCTTTGCCCAACCAGCCAAATGCTGGTTCCGCTGGTTTCCCCTGGCCTTGTAGCATGCAGATACAGACAAACAACATCCAACCTTCACCTAAATTGTACCCCTATAGTGCCTTCCCTGCTACACTATAGTCAACCAAACAAAACAGTACAATTCCGAGTTGGATAGAACTGAATCTGCGCAATCAACTCAACCGAACTGCAAAGCTTCCATCTTGGGTTCCTTTGCGAGCTCGTCCTTTCTGCTTGCACTGTTCATAGCGCGTACAATGTTGTGCCGAAGCGCACATTGCGCGAGTACCTGCAAATGCATCAAGCGAAAAATGCGAAAGCAAACAAACACACGAACACACCATTCACACGCAAATGCATTCGCACATGCATACTCGTACAAACAGACGGCAGGATGTCGTGCAATGTGCATTTGCACCCAACACACTCCCCCTCAGCCTGCCGGCTGCATCCCCGTCATTCCATGCTAGTTCATGCTCATTCCACTCATGCGCACACAACGCCAATGAGGCTCATCCGCAAGCCTCTTGGTGAGAAAGTCTGCTGGCTGCTGGTGAGTCTTGATGTAGATTGGATTCACCGTCCCCCTCTTCACCTCCTTACGCAGCCAGTGCCACTTGATACGCATGTGCTTGTTCAGGCCATGAAGCACAGCGTTCCTGGCCATCCCAAGAGCCCCCTTGCTATCACAAAACAGCGGCGTAGCAACTTTCTGCTCCTGGCCAATCTCCTCTAACAGCCTCCTCAGCCAAATCACCTCCTTCACCCCATGGAACATCGCCATGTACTCTGATTCTACGGAAGAGAGTGCCGTCTCCGTCTGCTTCTTGGACCTCCAACTAACAGGTCCTCCCCCAACTACGCAGATGTATCCTCCCACAGATGAGGAATCCTCCTTCTCAGAAGCCCATGTAGCATCGGTAAAGCAAGTGAGAAATAGCTTGCCTTCTCCAAGCCTCTCCCCCTTCTCTTTCAGCACCTCCACCCCTTTCTGCTTCACCTGTGCAGATGCGGAGTATTGAACTCCAATGGTTGGGTGAGAGTTCAGATACTTCACCACACGCTCAGCTGCATCCACCTGCTCCTCTGATGGATTCTGCACCACCCTAGCCAGCTGCCCAACCGAGAAAGAGATGTCGGGCCTCGTGTGAACTGCTGCGTACAAGAGGCTGCCCACCAAGGACTGAAATTGCTGCTGCTCTTCAGCTTCAACCCCTTCATCCTCTGCAGCCTTCACAAGCTTGAATTCTGCTGGCAGGGGAGTTGCAACCTTGCGCTCATTCTCAATCCCATACTTCTCCCCCAGCTCCTTGATGAACTTCTCCTGGTGCAGCTTCAACCACCTGTGATCTGGATCCCTCTCCACGTGCATCCCGAGGTAGTACTTTACCTCCCCAAGGTTCTTGCACTTGAAGTTTTCCATCAGTTGCTGCTGCACTTTCTGGATCTCCTTCATGCTGCTGCTGAAGAGAAGAATGTCGTCCACATAGACCAGAAACAGCACCAGCTTCTCCCCCTCACCCTTGAGAAAGAGGCTCTCATCACAGCTGCTGGTCCTGAATCCCATCTCCTCTAAAACAGCTGCCAACTTCTGGTACCAGCAGCGTGGCGCCTGCTTCAAGCCGTAGATGGACTTGTTGAGCTTGCACACCCTGCCCGTACCATCCTCATACCCAGGCGGCTGCGTCATGTACACATCCTCCTCTAAAATCCCATTCAGGAATGCCGTTGAAATATCCATCTGAATGATGAATTTCCCACTAACAGCTGCATCTGCCAACAAGACACGGAGGGTAGGGGGTTTGGCAGTGGGAGCAAAGATCTCGTTGAAGTCCTGCTTCTCCTTCTGCATAAACCCCTTCGCCACCAGCCTACTCTTGTAGATGGTGACCTGCCCCTTGTCATCGGTCTTGATCCTCAGCACCCACTTGCATTGTATCGCTTTCTTCCCATCAGGCAGCACCACCAGATCCCATGTCCTATTCTCCAGCAGACTCTGGTACTCAGCATCCCTAGAAGCCAGCCACTTGTCCCTATCTGGTCCAGCTAATGCCTCCTCCATGCTAGCTGGTTCCTCTGGTGCAGGGGCAAGAAAACAGTACGCAGGCTCATCCTCCTCATCCGGGTCATAGCCATGAGGTAGAATCAGCAATGCCTCTTCGGTCCCTAGCTGCTGCTCTGCTGCATCAGTTCCTGCAGTCAGCTTCTTAGTAGCCATACGGGTACGTCCTGGCCTGGAGATGGGTGTCTCCCATCCCTTCATAACGACACCCTTCGGCTTCTTAGTTTTTCCCTGCTGCTTCTCTCCTCCCTCGGGTCCAGCAGCTCCACTAGTGCTGCCGCCAGTTTCCACACCATTTTCTCCACCAGCAGATGCCTCCTGTACCTTCTCTCCATCACCATTTCCAGCAGCTGCCTCCTCTCCCTCCTCCCACACACTAGGAGTCAGGTCCAGCTGCATGGTGATCTGCTCCATCTGCTGGGACACCCTTGCCTCCGGCTGTTTCTCCCAGCTCCCATACATCATGCCCTCAATGAATTTCACATCCCTGCTGTCAAACAACACACCC